TAAAATTTTGCAAAAAAATATTTTTTTAAAAACCTCAAAGATTCGTACGAAAATTATACTAAATTTTGATCGTACATAGGGTTAATATAGACTTGCAAAATTTAATTTTTATAAGTAACCATTTTTAATAATTAGGGTCCTGTTTCATGTTGGGGTTAGTAAAAAAAGTAACTTGGGTTTGACGAAATTTTTCTTTTACAAACCATACGTGCTATCTTGATTTTCTAGACGTCCGTCCTAATTGGCGTTTCCGTACTATACTATATACTTTACTATATACCCTCAAAGTTATTTTATAATCAAGATTTTGAGATAAAGTATATAGTACAAATAGTATACAAATATTGTATTTATTTCAAGTTACAAGAAACAAATATATAAAAGCTTACAAGTCAGCATATGGGTACCAAAAAAGAAACTTGTAATACTGTAACAAAAAAATATAACATGCATATGTTTAATTTATAATGTTAATAAAAAAAAAAAAAAAAGATAAAAATATAAAGGGAATATTCCAAAAATAAAACTACATATTGGAAACAAAGAAACCCCTTTACAAAAAGAATTACTAGCATCAAATTATATTTGATGCAAAAGCAGTAAAGCAACTAAATGCAACCTCTCTAAATGCACGCACTATGAAAAGCCTCCCTAAATGCACGTCTTCTTTTTGGCCCAACTAATATAACACTTATAGATTTTTACCTCCCTAAATGCGGTACCTCTCTAAATGCACGTTTGACTCAATTTTTGCATATGGTCCCGCCGCAATGCATTTAGAGAGGTCTGACTGTATTTGTAAATATGCAAATAGAAAGAAAGTGAATATCAACAATAAAAAGAAAGTAGACAAAACATTCACTAAAAGTAAGAAAGTCAAAGCAATTTATAAAATCATTGCTGATAAAATTCATTAGATAAATTTTGGCTTTATCTGCTTAACCGATTCTGCAATTTTTTTTTTTTTTCCAAAAAAAAGAAGCTTATTACCAACATTTCGCCTAATAAATTATCTTCTGCGTTTCACGTTCACCGGGAAACCGAAATCTAAAATAAATGCAAATTACATAATTGGCTAAAAATTATTTCCAACTAATCACAGTTTTGATTTCTAATTCCCAGTGATACGTGAATTTGCTAATCACAATAATGCAAAGTTTTTGAATGTATAAGGCTATTAATTTAAACCTAATATGAAATCTAACTTTAAGCTTTCGTTCAACGATTGTTATACTTGTCAAAGAGGTTTTGGACTTTGATTTTATTGTGTATAATTTAGTTATAGCTAATGTACTTTTACTAACATTTTTATATCAATATCCTTTAATTGGTTATCCAAATATTGGTTATCCAAATATTGAGAAATGACTAGTCATGAAAAGACAGTTGTCATGTGGAAAAAAAATGTTGTTATCATTATTGTTATAGCCGATTTTTTTCGATTAATTTTATTGGTCGATCGAAGAGATGCAATAAAACCAAAACTCTAATTTCAAATAAATTACTGAATTAATAAAATTCACATTTCAATTAAATTACATTCTATAATGATTAAACCCATTACACTGCAAATGAAAATAACCCTTAATTACATTCTACAAAATTAAATCTTTTATACAGAAATTAAAAATAACCCAAGTGTTTGTGCATATGGCACCAACATCCACCGGGAAACAAAATAAAATAACATCCCAAACGCAATGGATATCGGTAATGCTGGTAGTGCTTTTTGGTAGATTGCAAGCAGAAAAATAGTGGCATTGAGACCCTTTGTTGATATTAATGAAATTACAAAAATATGAATTAAGAGAAAAATAAAAATACAAAGTACAATAAATATGTATCTCGGATGGTGGATGACACCAATATTGAAAATTTTATTGGTCAAATAGCCAATAAAATTGTTCTTCGTACCATCCGTGACACTATACTTTAAGGAATACACTACCGTTAGAACAGCAACAACGCACGCTACTGTTGTTATCCAATCAAATGTGGCTAATTATTTGATGAACGGAAATTAACGTTAGCGTTAGAGGCACTAAATCTATTGCAACAGCGGATAAAGCATCACATACCGGCTTGTGCTACTAGAACACTATAAAATACAAAGTCTCCCAATCCCAATTTCAACCCATTTCTTTCATCTAAATATTAAAAAAATTAGACTTTGAAAAATATACATATATATATATATATTCAATAAATTTGAAATATTGATAAAAACCTTCTTCTTCGTCGGGTGACATACTATTTTCAGGAGGATTCACGTTAGTTTGGAGCGAATCAGATGAATTATTAGCTCCAATGTTATTGTGAATTTCAGCGTCAGCATCTCTACTATAAGAATTATGGCCTACATTTTCTGATAAAGGTATATCTTCACCAGGTGGAATAAAAGTAGATGTCTTGGCGGAGGATGAAGAATTTACCGATGAAATAAATGATGAGGGAGAAGAATCAGTGTGTGCAGATAATCTGCTAGGCGGAATTTGAGTTGAAATTTTAGGTGCGGCCATCAGCCAAATAGCATTAACTGATAAAAATTTATTAGAAAAAATAAACACCGATTAGTTTACATGAAATATATTAAATATAATATATGTTTGATTACAAAATAGTGTTGCGGGCGAAACTACACCAGAATGAAATAATTTCATCAGAATGAAATAAATAATTTCACCAGAATGAAATAATTTCGCCAGAATGAAATAATTTATTCACTAAGGCAAAACCTTTTGATACATTCTAGTTTAGCCCTTAACAACATAAGCGGGAACATAAGTGGGAACATAAGTGGGATAAATCACTTTTCAAATTCGAAATATTTCGCCAGTTAAAATAATTTCACAAAGGTGAAATATTTCGTTTAGCCCGCAATATTAATCCTAAATAAAGTGTACCAGAATATAATAATGCCGGAATTTCACGCTGATTCTTCTTTGATGATTCGACAAGAATACGTAAAGGTCCAAATGGACATAGTACAGCAATCAGATCTTTGATTATTAGAAATTCAAAGTCAATTAATATGATATAAACGTTACAAATCATTTTATAGTTAAGAATGATTGTCAGATATATTACCCCAAATAGCCAACAGGCCTAACAAAATCCACGTAGTGTATGGTGACAGACCAGTAAGAGAAAATGCCTAGATAATTCATATATATTCATATCTATATCAGCTGCAAATGTCATGAGAGCTTTTCTGAAATATAACAAAAAATAGCCACCATCAAACTCGACATAATCGTCAAATATGCTTGCTGTAACAACAGAGGGCCTTTCCAGAAAACAGATATAAGGCCCACCGCAGTGAAATTCCAAAGGGCAAATACGAGGGTAATATAATCTAATGGTAAAGAAAGGATCGTTATAATATTCCTATAAAAAGAATAATTGATGAGAATACTGCTTATGAAGAAAATTCATCTTGCGTTTAAAAATAAATACATACCATATCAAAAGATATGACATAAACGCGAGAGGGAAAAGCACCACAAACATAAAGAACCCTACAAGGATCTGAACACGTACGAGTTAGTATAAATAAATAAATAAATATATATATATATATATATAGAACTGATAAATAAATGTCGCGGCTGAAGCTGGAAATTAGGGACCTCGATTTAAAAATATAAACCCTACCAAAATCCACTTGTACAGTTTTATTATCAAAACTAACCCTAAACCCTAAGCAACTATAAAAAAAAAAAAAGCTAAAAGAATACACCCCAAAAATTTTTAAAAATCTCATATTAAAATATTTAAAATTTCCAGCTTCAGCCATTTCGCGACAATAAATAACTCACTTTTGTAAATCCGTATTTAAATAGAAATACGATGACAACTGTGGCCACAATAATTTGTCCAATAAGGATTGCTGCAACATAAATAGAAGAGGAGAGTGACGATAAATTATCACTTGAATTGTTAGACACTTGGCTACTACTTCTGTAAAAAAGTAATTGGTAATTAATAGATGCAACAAAAGTTCTAAATCATATATAAACAGCCTTTTCGTCACCTCACCCAATCTCAAGATAGGATGGTGCTTTTGATAATTTTACCCAGAGGATAGATAGTACAATACACAGGACTACGGGTTTAATAATTTTGTAGACTTGCTGCATATAGAATCTGAATTCATCGGTTTGATCAGCATCAATTACCGGAGATTGATCGTTGGAATCAGGCTATCGTTGGTTAATGACAAATAAAAGAATTTGATACAATTCTTATGAAAAAAAAATCGCATACATAACTATACTTACCGGTCTTGCAGATGTAGAAGACGCAAGTGCATCTGTGTTCGAACGTCGATCTAAATTTAAAAGAATTTAATATAAAGTTATAACACTAAGAAATAAAAAATTATATATACTTACTTTTAAGGTTGATAATTTGAGCAACGTTTCCTCTACTGTAAACTTTACTACTCGATCTTCTAAGGATTCTTGAATTTCTTACATTGCCATGTTCCTCAGATTCCGTCTCTGAAAGTGCACTCGCACATACAGAAGAGTGTCCGTTTTCCCAATGATTGGTCTGGCATTTCGGGGAACAATAACGAGGACCTGTTTGTCCACATGCTTCGCATAAATATTTTGCTGAACCCCCACAATTTACACATACTGAATTCACTAAGACAACCTGCTCAAGATCAGCCGACGATTCTTGTGAGGCCATCTTGACTTATTACCTCAAATAACTTTTATATAATAGTTTCTGGTAGAGTAAGGGTGATTGTTTAACAAAGTATATCGAATATACGTACATAATAAGCATTTTTTTTGTGGAATAGCAATGATAGCAAATTTAAAGTTATGTTATACATATTCTATAATTAGTCATAATTTAATTAATTTCGTATCCGAGTTTGATCCCGTTTTTTATACCATTTATACCTGATGGTAATTTATTGTTATGCAGCATTGTATTATTGTAATGCATTATCGTAATGTAGGTCAATATTAATAACCCCGCCCTTTTTCACTCAAACATATATCTTCTAATTTTGTCCCTAATTTCTATCCTCTGCAGTTTCTATTGGTCGCAGGAAAATTAGTAACTAAAAATAATAAAGCCAGTTGTATTACTGTATTAGATAAATTGATCTAAAAATAGATGCTAACATAATTTACAAAATATTCTCCTACGTATGTATTAGACTCGTATTAACAACATCGGGAGTGCAGGTAGAATCGATTTTACTAAGGTAATACAATACTTATGTATAAGAAACTTTAAAAAAGAAAATTTATATGTATTAATTTAAAATTTAATTTAGTAAACTACTTTTTTAGTTTTTTACAAAAAAAAATTTATATATATATAGTACAATTTTGGTATTTAATACTAAATAAAAGTTCATTAGTATGTATAGCATACGTACAATACGTATATAATAAGGGGATAAGGGGCTTCATTCAAAATTAACAAATAAATACGTGACGAATTTTAAAAATAAATAAGGATTTTTCAAATAGTATATATGTTTACCATGTTGAATTGGAAAAATAAAATAAGATTTTCTAATAGACAAAGAAATATTGTTTTTTTAGAGGTTTAAAATTGAACAAATTAGTGCTAGAGTTTAGAGCCGGTTGATTTTTCATATATTAACCGGTTTTAATCGGTTTACCATAAGAAAATAAGCTCGGATCCAAACTCTAATATGTAAATTAAATTTGATTTATAAATCATAAAAAAAAACCTTTGATTTAATTTAAAAACAAAATCTTAATACTTATTAGGCCATACAAATTTAATTTAATAGCCAATTTCTATTCATACACTTAGTGTATAAAACTATATGAAACACAAATATGCTGTATATACGTATAAATCAAAATATTAATAATAAAACAGCCTTTGGGGCTCTAACAAAAAAAATCTCCGTTAAATTATAGTATAACTTAAATCCAAACCTTAAATCCTAACCTTAATTTTTATTCTTTAAATTTGTGCTACAGATTTACAAATTATACGCGTATAGGGCGATGGGAATTTCTAATTGTTAATTATGAATTGTTAACGATAAAAAATTAAAAATTAATTAATAATTTAACAATAATTTCTAAGCAATTAATAAATAAATTATCCAATATTCTTTGATGAAACTATTATCAGGTGAAAAATACATAATCTTTTATCGCAGCCGCAGCATATAAATAACCAATCGATGACGAGCCTCAAACTTAAGGGGTTTAAAATTATTGTTCGTAAAACTCAATATGATTGGTAAATCATTATGACTGCGCCATCAATCATTCTATCGGCACTTTCTATGCATATTGGATAATTCAATTATTAATTGTTAAAAATGATTTATTAATTTAACAATTTCCTATAAACAATAATTAGAAATTCCCATCGCTAGATGTACCCAAACCCGCTAGTTTGGAACTTAGTAGAATCCCAAAGGATTTTAGTAGATTCGACAAGTGCGTCATAACCCAAACTATCTTTGAGGCTGACCGAATTTACTGATTATACCCTCGTTTTGGGAGCATCCTAAAATTTTGTGGTTTCCAAATTATTTATATAAAAAATTTATATAACAATTACAAGTTCTAATGTAATCAAATAATATAATTTTATTATTTGATTACAATTAGAACTTGCAATCTATGCATGATTGGTTGTTGAGGTTTGGGATGTTCGATAAAGAATGACTCATGGTTTGGGATTTGGAATTCGGTCTAAAATTGTCTATCCCGTAACCGGGGTTTGGGCTACATCCTTAATATACAGTATACTATTAGTGTATGTTTAGAAATTTTCATAATTTCACACATAAAGCCTTCCAGTTATTAAACATAAAAATTTTTTTGAAATTCGTGTTACGAAAGCCAATTAATTAATTTTGCGTGGCCTTAATTTGAAACTACTAAATTCTAAAGCGGATATAAATCATGTGACTATCAGCCAATCAAAGTATAGAATTTTGAATTTTGATGATTGCCAGCGAAGCAATACAAGAAAAATGAAAATAATTTTAGGTAGCGTTCCCACAAAAAATTGTTCATCCCCATAATTTTGACCAATTAAAATTTAAGATCAGTGTCAAAAAAGAACGGGTTGTTTTCTAAGTAAAAAGTTACGCGTAAAATGAGACCAAGAACCCCATGTTATATTTAGTAGTGTTCCGTATGATTCGGACCGGGCGGGTATTTTTAAAGATCCGAAAACCGAATCGGATCTAAAGTTAGGGTCCGAAACTGTATCATGTAGGCGGGTCCGGTCCGGACCCGTGAAATATCATGTGGATGCACGATCGACCAAGCATAATCTGAGCTTTTATAAATGAATGTCGCCAAAAAAAAACCACTTCAGGTTTAAAGTTTATTTTTTAATGAATTGAAGCCTGAAGAAGCATTGGGATGTAACTAGTTGTAACTTTCTGTTTTAAAATATGACCCTATGCACTGTTATACTATGACTATAACTTGCTGCTTGAAACAAATTAACCAAAAAACTTTGTTTTAGAATTGTTACAGTTACGACATTATAGCTTATTTGCAGCACAATAGGAACATACGATTTTACCATAACCGTAACTTGCTGAATGCTGTCACCCTGCAACACTAGACAACACCCAAATCAAAAGCGCAATTGATAAATAAATACATTAATGCAATTTAAACATTAATGAAGTTTCTATGTCTTTATTTAAACCGTTAGTTTAAACACAAAAAATACAACTTATTTAATCTACACAGAGTGTCAATTATCAAAACTCCCGGATGTGAAAGATTCCAAACACGGTCAAAAGGTTTATTTAATAAATTTGATTTGGGCTTATATGAAAATACCAAAACAATTATTTATTTATTTAGTTTTTTTTATGATTTGATGTTATTTTGCAGAAATTGCTAACAGGTATATGTGTGAAATAGAAATGAACGAATCCTAAAAATAAATAATATATTAACTAGTGTTCAAAAATGGATTAAAAATCCCAGTTAATCTGGGATTGATCCAAATCTGATCCGAATCTATAATTCGGATTGAATCCGAGAGTGATTTATGCCAATCTGATGGTTTGTCACATATATTTGTCACAATATAAGTGATAAATTCAAATTTATCACTTATATTGTGGCACAAGATGTGATACATTTGAATTTATCACACGACAAATTTGAATTTATCACATAGAGTGATTATATAAAGATATGATCTAAAATTACACTCAATTCGGACCCAATCTGACGTTTTAGGGGTCAAACCTAATCTGACGGCTTGGATTCGCACAAATTCAAATCTGATTTATGCTGATTTTTTCGAACACTAATATTAATAAGGTGTTTATATGAGAGCAAAAATTGAACAAAAAAAATCTAACATTTAGTGGTTTTATTTATTTTTTTTTTAATATTAAGGTGACCACTTGGGGTCTGGCATGTTTTATTAACTTTGGTTACGAATACCAGAGCAGTCACAAAGCTACTTCTAACTTTGTTATATTAACAAGGATACATTTTAACTATATTTGTGCCTTTTGAGTGTCTAATTAAGTATCTACCTATTACTAGATCTGCACTAGATGTCATATCTATAATCCACTATTACTTGAATTACCCAATTAAATCCTCTGATCAACTTAGTATTGTTAGATATTCTCTCCAAAAAGAAACTGCTGCTAAGGCCTCTTAGGACTACTTTATCTTTATGATAAACCTATTAAAGTAGTTCATGTCCCACATATGTATCACCTAGATTTTTTAGTAACTTACACCTAGGCCATAGTCAAGTATTTGCAGCATTTTACCTCTGCTACCATCACCTACTTCTTGCCCTTATGAAGTTCACCCAAATCCTAGCATTCACTTTATGGACTATCACTAACTTTTCTGGCATACCAACAGTATTTCTAAACCTTCAATCCAGATGGTCTGGAAGGAACTTGTGTCTCCTGATATTCTAATGAATCCTTTTCTCTGTATATATATAGTCTGGTTGGTATGGTGTCTTGTCGAATATCCAGTTCTTGTTTGGTTTGCTATTGGGTCTGATTGCTGATAATCATCCTTTATATAGTACTGTCAAAGATCTGTGCTGCCTCTTTATATAGGACTTGCCAAATGGGCTTCTGTATACTCTGATCTCCTAAATTTACTTAGATATATTTAGTGATATGGGCCGATGCCAAATCCTTGGGCTGGCCCGACTGACAAAATATTCAGAGCCGGTTGACCGGGCCAACTTATAATTTTTAGCCAATCAGATTTCATAATGTGTAACGTTGTCATTATACAATTTCTTTATTTCAAAATGTTTCAACTGCTAATACTAATACTAACACTAATGAGACTAAGCAATATAACTTTTATAATGATATGAAAATAGGTAGATTATGAAGCAATTCAAAACTCATGACCTTACAACATTAAATCTGCCTTATAATAGTAACAAGCATAATACTTTTATTCCAATCCAGGGTAAACGTTGAATAGATCTGAGTTAGTTTTTAAAAACAGTATATCGTGTACTATATTTGGATCTAACCAGTTTCTTTTTTTTGTTAGAACATTGCCTGCGGCAGAAAACAACTGTTCAGAAGATACCGAAGTTGCTGGAAAAGCAAGAAATTTTCAAGCCACTACTGCTAAATTTGGATATTCTTGAGATTTATACGCCACTATATGAGAGGATTAAGAGTTTTATAAAGTGGATGATCAATGTAATATTTACTCATTTGTGTTACTTTTTTATATCGTTCTAATTCATTATCCATTAAATAGTCATTTTAAACATAGCCATCAAAAAACCGATCCATTTCAGTTTGCACTGGAATGTTAATACTTGCTACTATATCTATCATTTCTGATATTGTATTCTGAATACTTTTTTTTTTTTTTTTATTAGTAAAAGACATTTTTTTAAAGCGAAAGTCTAGGTAAAATGCAATATAAGCCTTAATTGAAGGTGTTTCCCAGCGATCAAGTATAGATTTTTCGATTTTTTGACTAATACTTAGGATAATAGGTGAGCTTAATGATTCATTCATTCGATTTAAATGTGAAATCAAAAGTAAAATAGTAGAGAGCATCATGCCAAGGGTCAGATATTATGCATCTTCAATTAAGTTAGTTGTTTGAGCAAATGGTTCTAAAAGTAATGTTAATTTATTTAATTCCTCCATTCAGTTTCTGAAAGTAATTTCTCACTCAAACTGTGACCATCTTTTTTTTGTTGCAACTCAGAATGATGACATAAAGACTTTGCAAGGTGCTTTACTACATCTTGTAATTGGAGTAACCTTTTTAAAACAAAAAATGTTGAGTTCCATCACGTTTTCATATCACAAATGGGCTCAACAATAGCTTGTTTATTTTTTTTTGTTTGTATTTGTATTGATTGCATAGATAGATTTGACTGTACTTGTGATGTTGATTGTGGTAGTATGAATTCAAATGAATCATCTGATTCAGGTTCAGAATCATCTACTAATAAGGTTCATTCAAATTCATCAGAGATATTTTTTGATAGCTGATAAAGTTCATTCTGAATATTGCAGAGGCTTTGACGATATCTATCCTGTTTTACTAACCAATTATTTAGTTTTTTGGCTTTAGTTAAGAGATCATCACATAAATTAAGACTATCCTTAATGGCCAGTTGAATTGTGTGAGCAGTATATCTAATATGAGGAACTTCAAGAAGTCGCATTCTTTAACAATAGCTTTATTATTATCAGTAGTTTCCCCAATTAATTTATTACGTATATTCTAGTGATTAAAGATTTTTGTCAAAAATTGTTCAAGATGTTCCCCTAAGTGTAGATAAGGAAAATTTTCAATAATTAAAACTGCCTGATATAGATTAAAATTTTCTGAAAGCCAGTGAATTGTGATACCAATATAAGGTATATACATACTAGTCCACATATCTGTGATGAAGCAAAAAGATTCCATTGTCTTAGATATTAATCTCCGCAATTGTTCTTCAGCAAATAGTACTGATTCTCTTATTTTAGTTTTAATTGAAGCTGAACAGGAAACTTTAAAGTGGGGATCCATTTCTTGATAGAATAAACGAAATTCATTTTTATCTACAACAGTCAATGGTTGGCAATCTTTAACAATCCATGATATCAAATGGTAAGTTAATTTTTTTTGTTTAGCAGGGCTATGTGAGTTTACTTTTGAAAGTATTGAAGGTATAGTTGGGGTAGATTTATCCGATTCTACTGTAGCTTGTCTTTTTGAATTTTTACTATATTGCTGATTAGAAAAAATTCGATGAATTTCATTGAGATGTTCACCAAGATGTGTAGTTGATGTTGTAATACTAAAAATTTTATCACAATTTTTTTCATTTCTATCTAAATTAATTATAACTACATCACAAGTTATTTGTTTTTTTACTGTATCCTTTTATATAACCCCAAACTCAACTAACATTTGATACTTTTGTATTACTAAATTTATTATGATTGTTTGCTAATATTTCAACACCTGAAACTTTTAAGGATTGCTTAAGTGTAATTTGTCAGTATTCTTCAATTGGGCGTAGCAGATTAGTTTTCTTGACTTGTTCTTGAAATGAACATTTAAATGATATAGAAGAGGCAGATTCAATGTCATCTGATGACTGGTTTGAAAGTTCTTCACTTTCTGTTGCTATGGTTTGTTCTGATTGACTAATTTTTGGCAATTTTTTAGATCGGTCAAATAATTTTATATTATGTTCGTTTGATGGATCTGAGTGATCAGAGGTAATTTAAACTTGTTCTTTTTTATTGAGCCAAGTATTATATTTTTTTATCATAATGATATTGTAATAGAACCTTTTTATTAGTTAGTGTTGATGGACAATTTTGCAGGATTTATAATAATAACACAAGGCGAAACTTCAATAGACTCGAAAAACTTTTAGAAGTAAATACAAAGAAAACGTCTTCAGTTATCAATAATCCACATTTAATATACTTTTATTAATTCAATTTATATATCATTTTTTATAATAATTGCAAAATTCATATTTGATTCTATCTACTTTACAATACAGATTATAATACCAATCAAAGATCTAATATTAATTAGGTATTGGGGCTTAAATTATGGGAGTATTCAAGTATTTTTTCATTTGATTTTTTATTCTTACAATCTATTTTTTTTTTGTTTTCATGTATAAGTAAAGATTGCAGGAATCTATTTTTGATGTTTACATTTCTTGCATAGCCTTTGATGTAGCCACACCTATTTTAGAATTATTACTTTTTTGGTTTTCAAAATTTGCGCATAACTATGAATTCTATTAGTTTACTTTTTAGGTTAGTGGCTCTAAACAGAATCGACTTAGACAAGTTCACATGGTATACACTTATTTCTTAGTCGCACATTACTATAAATAGCTATATAAGATCCCTTTGGGTAATAGAACACCATATACTAAATTTGGATATAAATCTCAGAATTTTCTTAACCAAAATAAAGATTTCAAAAATATAGAATGTATGTATAAATTCGAAGTATGTATACATTTCGAATATTTATTTTTTACAGTATAAACTACCTTTTCAGTATAAATTCTCAGCCACATACTACATTTGGGTCTTATTAAACTTTAAAACTGATGAAATATACTAGAACTGCCATTTACAGTACTTCGTTTTATAAAGATTAGCACAAGTGTCTTTTGAAATCATTCAAATACACATTTAAATTATTTAAAAATGATCGCATTTCTGTGTAATAATAACAGTAAATTTGAATCAAAATGTTTCTGATTGTGATATATGATCAAAGAGATTTAATATTTATGTTAAGCTTAAAGAGCTTATTGTTACGACTTTTTGTGTGTAATATAATTGTATGCTTTTTTTTTTGCATCTAACAATACAGATTAAATTATACGTACTATTTCTTTAGAGTAAACTATTATATATAGAATTAAATATACACTAAGTTAATTATTAATTTTTTTTTATAGCGTGAACTATACTGTGTATAATTCAATTCGATGAAATTAATAATATTTTCTAAATCACATGTGCAATAAATACATAAGATTACCTAATATTCTATGGATGTTCAATAACACGAAACTTTAAATTTATATTTATGTAAAATCTCAAACATATTTCATAAAATGCCAATATTAAAAATTTATTTGAAAATATCGACCGGCCCACCCTCAGCAATATGAACCGGCTCTCAATCCGCCCACCGGCCCAGCTGGTGGGCCGAGGTCAGTCCATATCACTAGATACATTACTTGAGTTTCATATAATTTTGTATTACACTACTGTTCTGCATCCTTCCAATACAAGCTGTTGCAATTAAGGTTACAGATACCAACCCATCAGATTATACACAGTCTGCTATAATATATTCTGTAAATTTGAATTTTGTTATTAGTGGGATTCAAACTATTGTTCTGCTGCTTGAGATGCAACAACTTACCAACTTCACTAAGTCACTACACCTAGTTAGTAGTTTTATATAAAATTATTAAAAATAAATCAATTAATAAATTAGTATTGCAAAGTGTTTTTCATAAGCCATTAAGTGATAACGAAAAATATATAAAATAATAAATTAATAAGTATTGGATAAGTATTTATTATTTTTACAATTATTTTCCAAATCATCACATTTATATTATCAGTCATCTAAGGTTTTTATTTAAAAAAAAAAATTTAATGATTTATTTAGTTAAAATATAAAAGCTTATATAGAACATTTTATCAGTTAAGATATATATTTAATCTGTTAGTTCTCTCTACTATGATCTCAAATACATCATTGCTCATACTGTTTTTTCATCTAATTAATTTTGCTTATTAGTTAACATATTACTACTAATACTAAATACTTGCTTACTTGAAACACACATAGTAGATATTAAAGGCATCCTTAGCAAATTTTGCAAAATTTGAATAGCTACTTTTATTTATCTACTACTATTTAAAATATCTGTATACTTATCTACAAGTAGCAATATTAGATATATATCAAACTCACTTTGTAACTCTGTATATATTTGTTTATAAATTTGTAATATTATATCTTGAGATTGTACTAGCTGTTTCTTGATTTGAAAGAAGCATATATTAGATTTTGTATTTATCTTTAATACTTAAAATGTTATGCAAATTAATATATTAGATACTTAAAAATATTTATTAATTAAGTCTAAGGCTATACAAAGTTGATTTTTTATTTTGTATTACTTGTTAATCTATTTTTTTCAATTTTTCAAAAAAAACAATTTTTTTTATATTACAATTTTGTTGATTATTTAATTTTTTTATAAATTGAATCTGATATTATTTGAAACTTTATGATTTCAAAATATCTGATATTATCTGAGACTTTATAATTTTAAAATATCCAATATAGCAATCAAAAAAATTCTAACTGCCAACTCATCATCATTTTATAAGATATTTTATAATATCAGAATTATATTAAAAAACACATATAAAAAAAAGTAAAATAAAAATATTAAAAAGACAGGTGTTATAGCTTTAATAGTATTATACTTATTAAATGATTCATTTAATAAATATTAGATATACTAGATATTTTTTGTTTAGGATTTAAACTGGTCAGATCTTTACTCATATTTTTTTATATTAAAATTATCAATACTTTTTTTTTTTTTTAAATATTAATGGTGAGGCCATGCCTTTAACTTTATTGAAATTTAATTGAAGTTTTTACAAAGA